AGTTGCCTAAAGCTTGCCTGAAACTATAGCCACTGAAATCCTAGTTCCAAAAAGGCTGGCTGGGTCAGATAGGACGAGTTAACGCTACACTCGCCTCTCTGTGATTATCTGCAGCCTTTAGGGAGAGAAAGAGAAGCTTCCTGCTCTGAGAGGTGACGTTGGTGTTTCAGGAGTTCCGTTTCCAAAGGTCAAAAAAGAAGACAGGGGCTAAGCGATAGGATTTCTCTCATCTGTAAACGACTGGAAGCTTGAAGAGGGTAGCTTATGTTTTCCAAACTCGCTATGCCTTCATGGTTTTTTTCCTGCTTTGGTAGGCTTAGCCACAAACTCAGGCTATCGATGCCATTCTTCAACCTGCTTTGCCAAACTAATTTGCCTTATTCCACTCTTCATTGTTTCGAACGTGCCATTTCTTCTGGCTTGCTGCGGGTTTGGAGGAGATGTTGGCCCTGGAGGCGTTAGGTCGGGAAACAGTCTGTGCTCCCAGCGAGCACCCCTCTGGGCTGCTCCAGAAAGACACCAGCCAGACCCCAACTGCAGACCCCTGTGAAGGTGGTGGGTGAGCCCCAGTGGAAGCAGGCCCAGCCTCCCCAGGGGCTCCCGTTGACTGAGATGAAGGCTGGCAGTAAAGCAGGGTGAGAGAGTGCGACGGTGGGCAGGAGGCTGGGTGACTTCTGGCAAAAGTCAGAGAAGGCCGAGAGGGAGAGGGTGTGGACCCACGCTGCACTGTGGGTGTGAGGTTTAACTAGCACACGCATAGCTCTCCTCAGATTCACTTCAAAAGCCTCTGTCTTCAGAGAAAGCACTGGTGCTGGTTTGTGCATATCTCAGTCCCCAGCTCTGAGTAGAATCTGCCCACCTACCCCCATCTTGCAGACCAACACAGGGGCTAAGTATCAACTGCAGGTCCCTGCCCTGAGGCCAGGACAGGAGGGTGAACCCAATGGGTGCCTCACCCATTCCCCGCATCTGTCCACCCCAGGGCCTTTGGTTGAGCACGGGCACTCCTGTAGCCTCCAGGGCAGGGCCCAGCCGGGCAATCCCAATGCCCGCTGGCTTTCTCCCCAGTAGAGGCGCCAGTGCACTGACCCAGCTCTGTGGGGCTCCAGGCAAAAGCCGGGCCAGCCAAGGGCAGGGGGATTTGAGTGCCCCCAGACCCCTGATGCTTCCAGGAGGTTGCCAGGCAGGCAACTGTGCGTTTAACCCCTTACATCCTGGGGCTATTCAGAAGTGATTCCTGAGGGCAGCCCCAGGCCAAGTTTCTGCCGGCGGATGTGTAGGCCTGGACTCTTCCGCTGGGAGGTGAACACAGACACACGACCCCCAGGTGGATGCCCCCACCTGATACACTGCCTGCAGCCCGTGCCCCTTCCTTCAGCCTTTGTCTGCAGGCCCCGGTGGGAACTACAACTCCAGGAGTTCAGGGTGGCTCTCGGGCCCTCTGCCGGGCACCTGCCTGGTCTGACCGCAGCTTGATTTCCTGAGGTTTCACTCTCTGGAATGGCCCACCGAATGACAAGGACCCCCGCGCGTGCGTGCATGCCGCTGTCATAGCATTCGTTATCTCCCAATGTCCCCACGTCAACCTAAAAAAGGGACAGCAGAGCTTGGGGGGCACCCTCCTCATTTTTAAGGGAGGGGGAGCCAGAAAACCAGCGGGAGGCCGGGTCTGCAAACAGACACCCAGTGCCCCCCTCCCTCGGGGAGCGCTTAGGCCGGCGGAAACCGAGCACCGGGATTTTATTTGCAATATCAGCGTCCGTGTTATCAAACCGAGCGTGACTGCAAGCCCGCTTTCCTCCCCGGAGCCGCCCCGGGGCCCCTCTTTGCGCAGCCAGCCGGGGAAACACGGAGGGCAGTTCTCCGCAAGCGGGTGCTTCGCTGCGCTCACGCGGTGCGGACGAGGGGAGCCAGCGAGTGGCGTTCCTCGGCGGAACGTGGCGAGCTGGGCTGAAACCAAAGTCGGGCGGTGGCTGGTGCGAGCGTTCGCGGAGAAGCCGATCGTAAGCGCGGCGCCGGCGGCCGATCACTTGGAGAAAGCCGAGGAGCGCGGCTCTCCGGGCTTGGGGCCCATCGGCAGCCCGGGAGGGCATCTCCGGCCCACCGGCCTAGGAGAGACGGAAATGCCCACTCTCCGGCATCCCCAAGAAGCGCGGCCAGGGTGGTGTCCCACAGTGGACAGGAGGCCGGGCTGGGCCTCAAGCAGGCTTTGGAAACAACTTAAAGAGCTTGTGTCTGCGCGCGCGTGGATTTCACCGATCCCCGGGCCATGCAGCTTTCCACCACGGTACCCCCCACCCCCCTCCCAGGCCCCTCAGACGGCGCCAGCCCTCAAGGGTCACTAGTTCCGTGTATGGGTCCCCTGTGGGTGACCTCATAGCTCCCTTAATTATTTCTCCCCTCGCCTGTCTGCACCTCCGACCCCTTGGCTTCCAGGAATTCCACCTTCTTCCTCAAAGGAGCCTGCAAGTTGGGCAGGGCCAGGCTCAGAGACAAGGCTAGGTCTGCCTGGAGAAGAAGTGCGGCTTTTCAGAGCTCATGTTGTAGCCGCGAATTTGAGTCTGGGCGGCAGCTAAGAACCCAGGTGCAGCTCAGCACCTGGGGCTCACTTACTCCTCAAATGGTCAGAGGCAAAGTGCTCAAGAAATTAGAAGATATTTGTGGGACACATGAAGAAGTAAATTTGCCGTGCAGCTCTGAGTCCTCATGCAGAAGGCTTGGAGTAATTGAACCATCCTGTCCCTGACTGGTGACGGCCAGGGTTCCCAGAGTTGCAGGAAATGGTCCCTAAAAGCCATTCCACATGTGCCTACCCCCACAGACCCTGCTGGACCCCTTTTTCCTAGGGACAGGTGGGTGACCTGTGGGCTTTACCATTTTTGAAACCCAGGAAGGACCCATAGCACATGTGTGCCTAACCAGAAAATTGGGTGATGGCCTTTTTAATGGAGAGGCAGAAAGATAGGAATGGTCCCAAGGTAGCACTGGCTCCCCCGCCCCCACAGCCCCCACAGCCCCCACAGGGAGAGAAGAGACTCCCTGATGGGCCGCCAGGGCCTACCCTGCCACCTTTATTGGCTCTGCGGCAGTCCAGCACCCAGTCCCCTGCAGGTTCCAGCCATCCCTGGGGCGGAAGCTCTCTGCGGACGCACAGGCCATGCCAGGTGAGCACGGGACCTAGGGAAAGGCTTACGGAGAGCTGAGCCAGGTGAGGGCCCAAACTTCAAGCCTCAAGCTGACCTGGAGGGTGGCTCTGGTTGGGCACTCGCTTGCCCCCGGTGCTGTGTTTACTCCAGGCCTGCCAGCTCCCTCACTGGCTGCCCAAGGCACTGGGCTACTGGACACTCCGCAGCTTCCCGGGGTTTGGGACTCCCTCTTGCTCCTCCTCCCCACTCTGGCTTCTCCTCAAGGGCACTTATATTGTGTCCCTGCGCCTGCTCCCGCACACTGCGAGCTGCCCTTTTGGATGGTGCCCAAAACCGCCCCAGATTTCCATAAAAATGCATTTTAAGTGACAGATGAGCGGAGCCTGGAGTGTAACAATGGTGTTTGGGCAGGGAAAGAGGAGCAAACAGGAAGGAGCCCGAGGGAGAAGGGGGAAGAGAGGAGGAAACAAGTCGGAGCTGGACATTGTGACAGCAGCTGGAAAGGGAACTCAGAAAGGCATAAAGAAAAGCGAGGAGGGGAGAAGCGAATCAGGGGGCCCCTGGCCTGCCATTTCATCCCTAATTCCCCTTTCAAATTGGCCCTGCCCTCCTGCAAAAACTAGACAGAGAAAATGAGGCTGAGCAGCCCGGCAGCCCCACAGTCAGGGTGGGAACAGTTGAGGTGGGTGGTGGGCGGGCTGGGCCACCGCTGGGGGAAGCTACTACCCTCAGGAGCACTTCCAGGTTCCCTGGGGATGGTTTAGAGGGTTTGGTCAAAGAGCCAGCCCTCTATCCTTTGCAATAAAGAAGATTCCGTTAGGATAACACCCTGCACCCCTCTGTTTCCCTTGCAACCCACGGCGCACACTGTAGCCGCTCTCCTCCCGGTCTATAGGTCTGGGCGCCCCAGGCTGGAATTCCCCGAATGCGCCTCCCTGCACACGCACATGCACGCACACTTTGCACACTTACAATAAGTGTCTACAGGCGGGGTGTCCTGCGCGCGCACCAGCTCTGCGGGTAAGACAGGAAGCTGCCGCGAAACCAAAGTCAAGTGTAAGTGACAATTTTCCTCTCCACCAGCAAGGAAAGCGGTCTACAAAAGTCCCTTTGTATCCCGGCAGCTCATTTAATATTATTTATGCATTTGTGCAAGGAATTGTGGGATTTCTCCCCACGGTAAACAATATGGAAATGTTAAAAATAGCAATCTTCCAGCGCGTGTGTCCCCCTAAGCACAGCAGGGGGACCCGGCAGGGCTATCGCTGGGGTTCTCAGCTCCCCGGGAGGAAAAGCCACGGAGAAAGCGGGAGCCAGCGCAGAGGAGCGGCGGACGTGACTGCGGTTTTACTAGGTTCGGGGGCTCGGGCACCCGGAGCCCAGGCCGCGGCCGCTTTAAGGGGGGGAGGGGCGGCGGCGGCGGGGGAGGGGCGGCGGGCCGCTCCTGTCACCAGCGGCGGCCGGCGCGTCACGTGGGCGCGCGGCGCGGCGGCCATTGGCCCGAGGCACGTGTCCAGGAGACCGGCCCACGACGTCACTCGAGGGGGCTCTGTTAAAAATAAGAACAAAAATCCAGAGTGAAAGTGTCTCAGGTTGTGCTAAGTGGCCTGGAAATTTCCCCCAGTCCGCGCAGAGGCCGAGGCGGCGAGGGCGCGCAGACGGCGAGGGAGCGCGGGCGGCCCAGCCCGGCCCGGCCCGCGCCTCCCGCCCCTCACCCATGCGACTCGGGCCGCGGAGCTCGGCGGGGCTCGGCGGGGGCGCCCCGGCCCGCAGCGGGGCGGCGGCCGTGCGCACGGGGCCCCGAGGCCGGCCGAGCGCAGCGCGGGCCCGCGGGCCTCCATGTGCTTGCGGGCGGCGGCGGGCGCGCTGACCGCTCGCGCCCCGCACCCTCGAGGGCCTGCCGGGGCGCGCGGGCGGGGACGGCCGGAGCGGGCCCGGGCGGGCGTGAGCGCCGAGGAGCGCGCTGCCTGCATGCATGCAGCGTTAGCCCCGGGCTGCCGAGGCGGCCGTGCCGGAGCCGGAGGGAGCGGGACGCGGAGTCCGCGAGGCGCCCTGGGTCTCCGCTGGACCATTGTGACTTTGTAGAGCGCGGGTGTGCTGCAGACACGAGGACCTGACTCTTGAATCTCCCGTCGTCTGGGCGAGCGGGAGAAGACTCTTGGTATTTTCTGACCCAACTCGTGGATTCGAACGTGGCTCCGCTCCGAGCCCAGCCGGCGACTTGTTGGACCCCAGCCCTGGCCGCAGCCGCAGCGCTCGCGCTGGGAAGACTGTGCCGGGTGCTAACGCGGGAGTCTCCGTGTGCACGGCGTGCGGGCCCGAAGGCTGATTTGGAGGGGATCCCGGGAGAACCTATTTGGGATTTGCCGTGAACAGTATGGAGGAGAATGACCCGAAGTCCAGCGAAGCGGCGGCGGCGGCGGCGGCGGCGGAGGGGCAGCGGCAGCCGGAGTCCAGCCCCGGCGGCGGCTCCGGGGGCGGCGGCGGCGGCGGCGGCAGCCCGGGCGACGCGGACACCGGCCGCCGGCGAGCGCTGATGCTGCCTGCGGTTCGGCAGGCACCAGGCAACCACCAGCATCCGCACCGCATCACCAACTTCTTCATCGACAACATCCTGCGGCCGGAGTTCGGCCGGCGCAAGGACGCGGGGACGTGCTGTGCGGGCTTGGGAGGAGGAAGAGGCAGCGCAGCCGGCGGCGAAGGCGGCGCGAGCGGCGCGGAGGGAGGAGGCGGCGGCGCGGGCGGCGCGGAGCAGCTCCTGGGATCTGGCGCGCGGGAGCCGCGGCAGAACCCGCCGTGTGCGCCTGGCGCGGGAGGGCCGCTCCCGGCCGGCGGCGGCGGCGGCGGCGACTCTCCGGGTGACGCCGAAGGCGGCTCCAAGACGCTCTCGCTGCACAGTGGCGCCAAGAAAGGCGGAGAGCCCGGGGGCCCCCTGGACGGGGCGCTCAAGGCTCGCGGCTTGGGCGGCGGCGACCTGTCGGTGAGCTCGGACTCGGACAGCTCGCAGGCCAGCGCCAACCTGGGCGCGCAGCCCATGCTCTGGCCGGCCTGGGTCTACTGCACGCGCTACTCCGACCGGCCTTCTTCAGGTGAGCCCAAGGGGACCCCCGCGTCCCTGCCCGGCGCGGGGAAGCCCGCGGGGCTGGGGGTAGGGCGGCGGGCGGCCTGGCGCAGGAACTTACCCAGAGGCGGAAGACCCCACGGCACCCACACGCACACTCACAGACACAAAGACTTACGCTCCGCGCACACACACACACAGACGCTGGCCCGGTCGGCTGCCAGGAGGCGTGGGGGCAGAATGATCGCGGGAGTGTAGACTGCCTTTGGACCACAGAAACCGGGGCGCTTGCTCGCTCTCCCTTTTCCCCCCTCTTGTGGGCCATCTCCTTGCCGCCCTTAACCCATCCCTCCCTGACTGGAGTTTATTTGTTGGGAACGGGGCGGGCTAGAAGACAGCCCCGGAAGAGTCCACTCTCAGCCCCTTCGCCCCATCCTGCGATCCAGTCACCCAAGGGCGATGTGAGAAGAAAGGACCGGGCTCTCAGCCTTCGGAGCCCTGGGTCTGGGCTGGGGGAGGCTGTGGGGAGAAGGCGCGGAGGGAAGGGAAGCCAGCGAAGGCGCCCTTTTTCCCTTTGCTGGACTTCGGCTTGGAGAAGGGCTGTGCGCCCTGCAGCCGCCTTTTGCTAAGATTCCTTCCGGGCTGCCCAGGGTAGCAAGGAGGCCTCATCGGGAAGGGGTGTGTGCAGATGTTGGGTGCATTTTTTTTTCACAGATCTGGGGTTTTTAAAAGCTGGATCCGTGTTCTGGTGCAAACCCCCGGCTGCGTCACATTGCAGGGCTGCGGCTGGAAACCGCCATTAGGAGCGAGCTCCGTTGCTCCCCGAGCTGGCGTCGGACCCCTTTCTGACCCCCAACCCTCCTGTGCCTTTTTTTTTTTTTTTGCGGGGATCTTTACTGAAATCGTAGCACCACGAAGCCACCCCTCGGCCTCGTTCCCGCAGAAAGCTGTCTGTATGTGGATTTCTGATGAAATCCACATTTCTCCAGCGACATCAGAAATTTGCTCCATTGTTCTCGCCCCCCTCCTTTGTTAATATTTAATTAACATACAGGCTCACAAAGCCGGTGGGCGAGCAGCCGCAGCCCGGCTTTGTGCGGCTCGGGAGTCGGGACCGCGCCAGGCCCCAGCGCGCCCGCGGGAGGCCGGCAGCTCCAGCCGGCCCGACCCGAGTCGCTGGTCTTCCTGGGCTTAAAAGGAAAAAAAAAAAAAAAAAAAAGAAGAAGAAGAGGAAGATATCCCTCTAAAATCGCGGTGCCTGCCCTGGACGTTTGGGAAAGAAGGGACGGAGTTTTCCTGCGGAGGTTCGGTTTCTGTCTCCGAGTCTCTCAAGTCTTTGCCTTCTGAAAGGAAATTGAGAAAGGAAACTAAAAATTATGATGGGGGGGCGGGGGACGGTTTCTTTTCGGAAAAGGGTGTGTTTCGAGGGCCCCGATTCGCGTATGCGCCAACCGGGGAGCTAGGACCGAGGGTGGCGGGCGTGCTCCGCCAGGGGAGGGAGGGAGGGAGCCTGAGAACCGCTCCGGGAGCACGAGGCTTCGCTCGCGTCCGCGTCCGAGCACGCGTGGGGCCGCCCGGCGCCTCTCCCACGGCCTCACGGCCCTCCGTCCTTACCCCTTCGCGCGTTCCCAGGAGGCTGGCCTGCTGTCCCGGGGTCCCCACTGCGCCATCCAAGCCAGGCCTGCTAGCGCTGAGCCGGCGCCTTGGGCGCTAGCGTCTGGGTGACTGACTGCTTGCGTGGGGGGTGGGGGGTGGGGGGAGGTGTGCGCGTGGGGGGTGGGTGTGCTTCAGAAACTGAAAGGCCGGGAGTGGGACCTGAACGGCCCTCGGCGGCCCTCTGCCGTGCGGGCAGCCCTTTTTCTGGGTGGACCTCACAGCTCGGTTGGCGGGAAGGGCGATGCAGCTCAGCACCACCACACCCCACCACGTTGCCCCCACCGGAGAGATCCCTCTGCCCTTCCCCGGCTGCAGGTCGGCCCCTAGGGTGGAGGTGGGGGTCCAGCTCTGTCCAGAGGCCTCCTATAAAGCTGCAGCCAGACTATCCCCAAAGTCGATTTGTGGGACTCACAGATGGAGAACCCCAGAGGCAGGGTCACTACTCCCCATCACTGGCCTGGGCAGCTGCTTCCCTACAGGGAGCCTCCTGGGGTTGTTTCCTGACACCAGCACACTCCCTATCCTCTGCTCTCTTCCCACGGGTAGCTTAGTCCTAGCAGACCTTGGTCCTAAACCTGGGGCAACTCCCTGGGGGCGGGGTCAGCTGGGGGTAAGAAGTGTGAGCATCTTTGGGAAGGTCAGAAGGGTAGAGCTGCCCAAGGTCAGCTAGGCAGCTTCCAGAGAGAGCCTCTCATCTACAGTGTGTGGGGGAGGGTGCACCAGCCACCACTGTCAGTGCTGGTGCAGGGGCCGGCCCCCCACCCCTCGATAAAGGGAGCCAGGGAGACTTCCTGTGGGTGAACTGACAGTGGCTGGGTGCTGCTCTCCCACCCAGGAGGGGATGGCTAAGCCCCATCCCATCCTGAAATGAAACAATGAACTTGGTGTGCAGGGGGGGGGGGGCATGGGGTTCAAATCAGCAAGGGAAGTAGCTCTGGGCCTGGCAGTATCTCGGAGCCCCCTGCCTGACCCCCTGTGGTGTGTTCCCAGGTTCCTCCAGTGCCCCTGACTACCCTGCCTCCTTTCCCAATTCCCCCCCTCCCCCCCACACCCTTCACCTCTCTCCTGGTACAACACCCCTCCCTTGAGCTTCAGAAAAGGCTAGGAAAAAACACACCACAAAGTTTTGTTTTTTAAACATTTGTTTATTTATTTGAAAGGTAGAGCAACAGAGAGAAAGAAAGAGAGAAACCTTGCACCAATCGGTTCATTCCCCAAATACCCACAACAACCAGGCTGACACCAGCCACGGTTATGCCAGGAGCCTGGAGCTCCATCCTGTATCCGGGTCTTCCAGCAGGGACCCAAACATGTGTGTCTTCAACTGCTCCCTCATTAGCAGGAAGTGGGGTTGCAAACACCGAATAGCTAGGACTCCAACCAGGGTTTGGGTGTCCCAAGCCCCAGTTGAACCTGCTGTGCCACAATGCCTGCCCAAGTTTGGAGAGTTTTCCTTTCTACACTCCCGGACCCTACACTCCTCCCCAAGGCCGAGAGAGCCACGCCCAGTCTCAAGTCCAGCCGGACTTCCTGCCGGTTCAGCCTTGAGTGGCCTTGGGCGAGTCACTTCCCGTCCAGAGTCTGCGTGCCCGGGTGGGTGACTCAGCTCCCGCGCAGAGGTCGGCCTCGGCCGTGAGTGACCCGTATTCTTTCCGTCCACCTTGCCCGCCCAGGTCCCAGGTCCCGCAAACCAAAGAAGAAGAACCCGAACAAAGAGGACAAGCGGCCGCGCACGGCTTTCACGGCGGAACAGCTGCAGAGGCTCAAGGCGGAGTTCCAGACCAACAGGTACCTGACGGAGCAGCGGCGCCAGAGCCTGGCGCAAGAGCTGAGCCTCAACGAGTCGCAGATCAAGATCTGGTTCCAGAACAAGCGCGCCAAGATCAAGAAGGCGACGGGCAACAAGAACACGCTGGCCGTGCACCTCATGGCGCAGGGCCTGTACAACCACTCCACCACTGCCAAGGAGGGCAAGTCGGACAGCGAGTAGGGCGAGCCGGGCGGCGGGCGGGCGCAACAATGCAATAATTTAAAATCATAATAAATAAAGGGCCAGTGTATAAAGATGATACCAGCATTAATAGTGAAAATATCGTGTATTAGCTATGGTTCTGCAATATTCTATGTGTATATAATTTACAGGTGGTGTAAAATCCGAAATATCTGACTATAAAATATTTTTTGAGTTTTTTGTGTTTATGAGATTATGCTAATTTTATGATTTTTTTCTGAAGGGGGCTGCTTAGGGTTTCATCTTTTTTTAATCCCCTAAGCTCCATGATGGGACATCGGACACTTTTTTTAATTATTATTTCAAAAGAAGAAAAAAAATTAAAACAACTTGCTGAAGTCCAAAGATTTTTATTGCTGCATTTCACACGACTGTGAACCGAATAAATAGCTCCTATTTGGTCTATGAGTTCTGCCACTTTGCTTGTGTAGGCTTGGTGAGGACAGCAGGAGGGACCCCCTGCACTCACACAGGGTACCCCGCGGGGAGTGAGGACCTCCAGGGTCCTTGCCGTGTTTCCGGGGCTTGGCCATGAGAAGTGGCCGCCAGGGCCTGCCCCGCAAAGGCGGCCCCGCGCCGCCGGCGGCACAGGCCGCCGCCTGTCCTCGCTCACCTCCTGCCTCTCTGTCTCTCTCTCTCTCCCTGGTCCTCCTCGCTGAGGTCTGGCCCGCGCCTCCTTGCGTTCTCCTGTCCGCGTCTGTGTCGCTGTCGCCAGCCTCGCCGCAGCCCCACCATGAGCCGCCGGTGCACGGCTCCCGGGCCCTGGGCACCGCCTGGGCAGCGGCGGCATCTCGGGGCTGCAGGGCTGAGGGGCCTGTGCCGAAGCCCTAGAGCGGTGGGGCGATGCTCCTTCCCCCCAGGCCGCTCCCCAGTTCCCAGCGGCTCGGCTGGCGCCCCTGGAACGGGACCGCGGCCTGCCTTGGGGCTCGCAGAGGGCTCCGGCCACGGGAGTTGGCATCATCTTCCTTTCTTGTTTTCTTCCCTCTTTTTTTTCCTTTCTTTCTTTTACTCTTTTTTTTTTTGAGTGGTCGCTTCTGCTACAGAGAACGTTCTCCCAAGTTAAGTATTTGTATTGTGCATACGTACAGAAGTATGCATGCATGCGGTACACACAGCCAGGCCTGTATGAGCCCACAGTTCTGGAACATGTGACTGTCTTGACTTTCCAAGGAACTCAGAATCCTCCAGAAGGAAGAAAATCTGTAAATAATCATTTCTTATCACTTTTTTGTCTTTTCTTGTTTTTTTAAAAATATACATTTTATTTTTTGAAGGTGTGGTACAGTGTAAATTAAATATATTCAATATATCCCCCCACCAAGTACATATATATAAACAAACACATTATCTATATATATAAAACGTCCCACTGTCTTCTGTTTAGTGTACGGGGAAAAGTGTCCAGTTGTCCTCCTGGGCCAGAAGATGTGGCCATCGGTGAGCTGTCCTCCGAGGACGAAGGGTGAACTTCTCTCTTTGCCTTAAACCTCTTGATTTCACTGCGATAATAGTTTCACTTTGTACATAATAGTGTAAGCCTTTTAAAAAAAGGAAACTATAAAAAGCAAAAGTTGTAATTTAAAATTTCTGTGGATAACCATCTGCTGCTTCAGAAATCCAATGAAATGACATGCCTTTTTAGCAGGAAGCAAAGTTGATTTGGATTTTTTTTTTAGTTTAAAAAACATGTGCATTTTGCAGTTTCGGTATCAAATATTTATAATCTTATGAGAAATGAATGAATGTTTCTATTTACATCTGTGGCTATCAAAATTGTGAACACCCCACCCCTCCCCCTGCATTTTCGTGTGTTTGAAATTCTTGGAAGTTACGGTAAATAAAAAGAAACACCTCTTTATTACAAAACATCGGAGGTCCGAGGTCATAGTGATGAGTTTTTCTAAGCGTGTTGGAGCTCCGCAGAACGGCTGTGGCCAGTTTTCTGCCCGCTCAGGTGCCAGGGCCCGCCTGCGGGGCCAGAGGTGGACTATTTAACAGACAAAACAAACAAAGAAATCTTCCAAACACAGTAACGCGTTGTGAGCGAAGAGCCGCCAGAATCATCTCAGTCCCATCTCCTCGCCAGAGGGAAGTTTTCTATTCGGTGGCCTGCATCTTTAAAATCCTGCCAAGTTCAACAGGTCGCCCCCCACCCCTCACCCAGCCTGGGCTCTGCTCTGGCGCGCACACGGAGGCGCGCGCCCCGGGTGGGAGGATCTCTTACTAGACCTGAAACAAAGAGACCCTCCGCTCTTAAGGGGAGTTTCTATTTACCTTTTGTTGTTTTTACTCCCCAGAGCAAAAAAGAATCGCTGGATGAGGACATCCGGAGCAGGATGGTGGGGGGAAGGGGCTGGCTGTGCCCGCGCGTCCGGGAGGCCTCGGCCCTGGCGCGCCCTCGGTCGGGAAGTGCTGCGAGTGGGTGAGCGGGAACCTGCCACTTGCTGTGTTTCCAAACTTTTCTGGGTTTGAGGGGAAAAGAAAAGTTTTCCCGTTCCAGGATCATCGGTGGTTGCTGGGGCGACCTTTGAGGCGTCTTCTTCCACGTCCGCCACTAGGCTGGTGGGATGGGCGACTCCGGGCCTCCGAGGGGCAGAGCCACAGAGGGTACGATGGGGCTGCTCCCTAGAACCGCACGACAGGTCGCGGGGGGGGGGGGGGGGGCTGGCGGCGGAGCCCCCCCCCCCCCAAGCGCCCCTGCCCTGTCCCCTGTCGGGGCACCTGGGAGCGCCTCATGGGGGTTCCCAAGGCAGAAGCTTCAGGGCACTCGCAGAAAAACAAAACAGAAATAACTGGGACAACTCCTACTACCCTACTGACCTTTTTCTAAATCCTAACGCCGAGAGGGAGCAATGCACAGCTGTGTAAGGTGATGAGCTCCCCATCCCCAGGGGCGGCGTCCAGAGAGAGATACTAGGCGCACCGCCGCATTGGAGAGGTGGTGGGGGTGGTGCTTCATTGTTGAACCGAGGAGAATCCTCCGGTTCTTTTTCTGTTCCTGTGTTTACTACTTTTTTTTTTTTAATCCAGCAGAATAAAATCCTAACTGCTCACTCAAGGAGAGCCCCGGCTGTGCCAGCCAACGCGCGCCCACCAGGGGCGAGAGAAGACCCCAATCAGGCCTGTCGGGGACGCAATGCGGGACCGCGTGTTCCGCCCCGGCCTCCGCGGCTCCGCACGCCTGGGAGCCGGGCTCAGACTACAGATACCAAAAGCCCTAGCACCTCCTTTGCCCGCACGAGGCGGGTTTCCTATGAGTGCATAAGGGGGAAAAGTTCTTTTATGAAGTCCTCGCTCCTTAGGGCTGAACGACTGTGCGTCCCCCAGGCGGGACCAGAGGCGACAGCCCAGCAGTCCCGGGCCCTGGAGGACCCGTCGTCGCCCCGAGCAGGCGCCCCTGCGGGATGCGGGCCACGCAGGGTTCCTTGGTGCTCAGAAACGCTCTCTCTCTCTCCCCAGCCCCCCCGCCTCTGTTGTCCCCACGTCTTCACCAGGCGCCTGATGAGTGGGGTCTGACCTCCAAGCTAGAGTCGAGATGGCCGCCCAGTGTGGATCGGCCCAGCTCGTTCTCCCGAAGAGAGGAGGGGAGGAGCTCACGGTGGTGGTGGTGGTGGGGACCCCAGCCTGATCACCTAGGGGACTACAGCTTCTTCTTTTGTTTTGTTTTGCTTATTCCTCGAATGAAAAGGGCAAGTCGATGGGGGCTCAGTCTTAGACCGCTTGGCACAGGTGTGTGCCCGGGCATCCTACGCGCACGGCAAACACACAGACACTATATATGCAAATATTTTCGCCGGCCGGCTGGGAGGACGCGCCTGTTGGCTGGGGCTCTGTGAAAAGTCATTTTGTCTCCCGCTGGTTTAATATCCGACCTCCGCGGTCTCTGCTCGACTCGGCAGCTCCCCAAGCGCCCCCGGGAGGGTCCCGGCTCCGCCGAAAACTGCAGCCTGCCAGGCAGAGCCGCCGCGCGCCAGGAGGTTCATAACGACTGACGACAAAGGGCCGCGGCTCCATTCTGAAGGCACAGATCGGCGGGGTGGGGGGACGCCTCGTTTCCCACCCCTCTTCTCCATCTCACCCCGGTGTCACCCTGCGTCTGGAAATCAGGAGGCGAGGGAGACACTGGGGAGTGCAGCCCCCAGTGGGACAGAGCGGTAGGTTTCCCTCCACCTCGCCCCAGCCTGGGGCCTGGCAGGCCCCCGAGCCAGGAGCTCCTGTGCGCATGTTCGTTTGCGTCCTGAGTGAGGCCCGGTGCGCCTCGGGGGCGCGCGGCGCGAGCCCCAAGTACGCCATTCATGCTTTCGCTAATAATCTCAAATACTTCATTATAATCACGCCGCCTGCTCTTAGAAAATAAAAGGCTATCCTTGAAATCGCCTGAAATGCAATAATATTCATCAAAGTGCCTCCTAATTATGTGATGTAATCAAGCATGGTGCGCCCGCGCCCTTGCCTGTTAGCTGGTGGGGCTGACGATGGTGGTGGTGGTGGTATTATTACTGTTGTTGTTCATGGCCTAGGAGGACAGCTTGGGGCCCAGCGCCGTCACAGGGATTTGGGGGAGCCCACGGTGAGGGCAGGGTTTCCCCGGACCCGTGCCCCTGTTGCAGAGACCAGGTGAGGCCCGCAGCGGCCCTAGGCCGGAGCAAGGCCTGGACAGCCCCTCCTGGACACAGGGACGGGGGACTTTCCCCCAGAGCCTTAGGGCCTCCAAGACACCAAGGCCGGCTTTCTGGAAAGCGTGTTCTTGGAGTCCAAAACCCAGGACCCGCCGCAGTGGCTGCCCCGTCCTCTCCAGGACCGGGCCCCAGCACTGTCCGAAGCAGAAACAAAGAGTCGCCGAGACCTGCCCCGCCACCCTCTCAGTCTGGAAGGCGTCCCCGGAGAGGCCTCCAAGTCGCCAGACTTCCCGGAGACGCGGGAGCGAAGAAGAGCAGCCGAGGACCCGGTGGGCCTACGCGGCCGCCGCACCGCAGCGCTTTCGCCTCGGCAGAGGGGTTGGGTGGGAGTCGCCGGCGGGCTGGACCCGGTCCCAGCCGACAGTCCTCCATGAGGCCTAGGAATTGCGCGGATCACAGTCGGCACCAACCGCCTGGAAGACATCGGGGCGGGTCGCCGCTCGACCCATCTGTCGAAACGTAAAACTTGGCCGCGCGGTCCCGGTGCGCGCTGCCTGCGGAAGGGGCCGACCAGCCCCATTCAGCGAGCGCGTTCGGGGTTCTCCAGGCCCGCCAAGTCCTTTGTCTGGGAGGGACTGTCAGGCTCTGTCATCGGGCTTCGCCCTCCTCCTTTTCCCAGCCTCTACCCCCTCCACTAACTTTCCTTTCTTCCTTTCTCTTTTCTTTCCTCTTTGGATGGGTAATCACAGACTCCAGCTGCCAAGCGCCCGGCGAGGAGTTGCTGTTTCTGTCTGTGGCCCCTCCCAGCAGCAAACTCGCCGCTTCCCTCCAACTTGGCCGGGACTCCGCTGGCCCCTGCTCTCGGCTTCATTTAGGGGGCCCTGGGATGTTGCTTCTGAGTTTTCCTTTTCAGCCAAAACTTTGTCCGGGGATTTTTTTTTAATGGCTTTACTCTCTCCTCCTCCCCAGAGCAACAACAAATGTGAATTCTGAAAGCTGGCCATTTCTTGAGATTCAATCGTTAAGCGAAATGGTAGCATTGCCCAAGCATTTGCAGAATTGAACCCCTGCTAAGGCAAGTACTGACCATCCCCCTCCGCTCAGCTATTTTTTTTTTTATTGTGGTGAAATATACATAGCAAAAGTTATCATCTGGATCCTTCTGAAGCGCACACTTCGGTGGTATTAAATACCCATAATGCCATGCAAGCATCACCATCCTCGGCCTCAGAGCTCTGCCATGTTCGGAAACTGACACTGTCCCAGTTGAACAGTAACTCTGGGTTCCCCCCTTCTCCCAGCCCCAGCGGTCACTCTTGCATATCCAGTCTCTACGGCAGGGTCTTCTCATATTGTAATATTGCTGTATTACTGCGAGGATGGCTCCCCAGTAAACCCTTCCCACTGTAAGGAGAGGCTCTGTAGTCTCGTTATGTCTCCTAAGGCTAAAACAGGCCGGTGAGAATTGGGTAACTCGAAGTCACCCAAAATGCATGATGGCTACCCTGCCAAACATCCATTTGTTTGGGGGAAAGACAAACCTGCGGAGTAAGCCGGAGGCTGAGCTCGGGGTTCGGATGCCTGGAGATTCGCTGTTGCATAGGGCTGCTTAAGGAGACCGTGGTTTCGTGCGACTGCTCTAATAACTTTGCTTAGCAGGGTAACTTCCTATGGCTCTGGAGAAGGTGTTTTGACATCAGACAGCCTTGTGTTCAAATCGCAGCAGCTTCATGGCTTGCGTGTGGGTTATTCCCTCTCCCCCTCACCCACCCAAGCCATTCTCTCCAACAGAAAGGATATTCACCTAATGGGTTTCGCGCTGGGGTTTTTTGTGAGGTCTTGAATAGAGCTGGACCTAGGGGGAGGTTTCACACTCGTGCAGGTGAGCCTTTGGCTTGGCAGCTCTGCACTCCATAACCCAAGAGCTATTTTTGGTGGAACACCTCCTTATACTTTGCTGGCTTCTTCCTACTGCTGTTGTTTGGGAAAGAAAAAAAAAAAAGAGAGGGTCTGATGAACTCGAGGGGCATTATCCACAAGGTAATAAAACGTGGGATAGTGGGGGAAAGAGGGGGAAGGAGAAAGGAACTGCTCAGGGCCCTTTCCCAGGAGTGCCGCTCCCCTGCTACCTGGCCAATCGCTCAAGCACATGCAAACGGAGTGTTTTCCTCCCACAATAACCAAGAGGTTCCTTCCATGGAAGCCCAATAACTTTACACACTCTCTGTTTTGCATTCCGAGTGATAA